GAAGTCCGAAATGAACTAATAAACACACCGGAAGCCAAGTCCACAAATTGTCGATGCTTTGCCGCGCAAATCGTATTACCCAGGCGAGGCGACCCCAAGCGAAAAAGAATGGGCCCGGTGTCAGTGGCCATGGGCATCGCGGGCACCGTGGGCACCGTGGGCTAATAGGCAGCCAGTCGCGAATACTTGGCTCAAATTGAAAGTTATTTAATGCAGGCGGAGAAGGTCTAGCCACTGCGGTTCAGGCTGCCGGGTGGCGGCCTATGATGCTATGTGGCTACGGAAATTGTTACGCGATGCTCGGCCCGGCCAAGAAGAAGCCACCAACAGCAGCAACAACAACTGGGACTTGTTTGCTTCTTTTTTATTTTTAACAAATAAGATTCAAAAACTTTATGCCGTTGGCTGTCAAGAGTTGGCAAATGGGCAGCCGCAGGAGGCACGAGCCGTGGCGCAAGGGGCATGTGATACGCATTCGGATTCGACTGGAGTGTGCCGTGCGGGGACACTGAATATTTAACGAACGGCTGCGGAAGAGGAAGCCAAATGGCGCAAGTGTTGCTCAGTTTAATCTATTTCCTGCCTCGAAACCAGAGACACAGACTGAGAGGAAGATAGAAGAGGACAGCGAGACCGAGAGACAGAGACAGAGTCCGGCTGTCTGGCCAGCTGGCCGATCCGCGCAATCTTTAAATACACGAATTTATCGTTTCATAAAAAGCCAAACTTCACTTAATTCCGTGAGACAACGAAAATTTCTCGGCTCGCCGCAAGTAAATTCATTTTCCCGTAAATATTGTCTACGGCGGAACTTCATTTACCCACAAACGCTTTATAAAAATCAGATGCTGCAAAAAAAAAAAATAAAAATAAATGAAGACTGAAGACTCGACTGCAAAATGTTTAGTTAATTTGTTAAGATTTATTTATTTATTTTTATTTTTTTGCTTTGTTTAAAACACTAAATTTTAAAAAATTTATTTATATGACTAAAAATTTTATAATAAATTTATCGAATAAATTTTGTATTTGTTTTTACATAAAATAATATATATAACTCATATAACCTAAAACAAATACAAATATTTTGTTTACTTTTAGATTGCATGTAGATATAAATAATAAACAAATATATATAAATTATATATAAGATTACAAACAATCTTTAAAAAAATAAAATAAAATAAAATAAATTAAAATAAAATTAAATTAAATTAAATTTTTTTTTTTTATAATTCATATTCTGCTGGCTTTATCAAAAACCTACAGAAAAATTAGCTCATGCATTTTTATAATTCTTTATGTATTTATTATTATAATATATTTATATGACTAAAAGTTTTATATTAAATTTATCGAATAAATTTTGTATTTGTTTTTTATATTTTGTTTACTTTTAGATTGCATGTAGATATAAACAATAAACAAATATATATTTATTAATAAATGTATTTAAAAAATAATTGTTTTTAATATATAGTAAGATTACAAAAAAATCTTAACAAAAAAAATAAAATAATATAAATTAAAATAAAACTAAATTAAATTATTTTTTTATAATTCATATTTTGCTGGCTTTATCAAAAACCTACAGAAAAATTAGCTCATGCATTTTTATAATTCTTTATATATTTATTATTATATTTTTATTTTATAGATATATTTAATACCATTATATTATTATATTTTGTATAGATCATTTTACATACACTCTTTCTTAGCTTTTTAAAATGCTTTCAACTCGTGCTTGTCTATGGTAAAAAGAAATATTCAGCTAAAAACTTTTCAGATTTTCTTCTCCTTACAAAACTTTCCCCAGAGAAATGAATGTCTAAATGGGGGCGCAAAAAAAATCTCAACACGCAGGCCACGAAATTGTTTTCAAATTAAGATGGCAATTTTTAGCGCCCAGCGTCCAGTGGCCAAACCGAAAGAGGAAGAGGAGAAGCCACACACACATCCCCAAGCTGAAGGACCTGGTCAGGTGTCAGCTCCCAGCGGCAGGTGGGGGTGAGTAGAAACTTATGCTGGAGCTCGACACCAACGAAATTTGATTATGTTTCGCGGTTACACTTCATTCGTCTGCAGCTAGAGCTCTTCCCCTCCCTCTCTCTCTCTCTCTCTCTCTCTCCTACACCTTGGCAAATTGACATAAATTGTTGTTGCTGTTATTGTTGTTGTTGTTGCTGGGTGGGGGTAGGTGGGGTAGTTGGGTGGTTGGCCCAAGCGGCATTCACTCAAGCAATTTATGCGATCAATTAAATTTTTCGAATGACCAAAAAGTTGTTTAAGATTTTAATTTTCATAAATTTTACTTAAATGTTTTCACTTTGGCAATAGTAAATTTCATTTCGGTACGCCGCTTAATGTGTCAGAGGGTTTTTTGTTGTCTCCTGTTTATTTTTACTTTCATTTCGGGCGAGTTATGAAAATGATAACAAGATTTTATGATGATTAGAAAATTTAGTTGAACTTTCGGTGGCACTGGGGCTGACCGAGTGCTGGTGGGGTGGGGGCGTGGCATATGCACATTAGAATTTATTGCAAATGAGCAAAAGTTGTTCGCCCGAAATTAGAAATGCACGAAAATAAAAAGTCAAGGAGGCAGTGAAAGTAAATCAAATGTAAATCATCGACAGCATCGAGCGATCCCCGGACCAACTTTCATCTTTCAAAAGTCCAGCCGAACGAGCAGCCAGCCAGCCAGCCAGCCAGGCAGCCAGCCAGCAGCATAAATGATATACAACACATTTTGTGGAACCTTTACAACTAAATGCGGATAATCTGTAAGTTTGCTTTTCCCAAATTTATGTGAAACGGGTGGAGTTTTCCTCTGCTGCTGCTGCTGTTGGCTGGCCTTGTTGTTGTGCTTTTTCTTGGTTCCCTGTATAGTTTTTCAGCTGCCCTCCCTCGGTATCTGGTGGCAGCCGCCCAAAAACTAAAACATGCGCATTCAATGGGCGTCCGACCCATCCGGGCCAACAGACCAGTCCAGCCCCCAACCCTGATCCTGTTGCTGCAATTCATTTCCAACAGACGGGCGTCTCTCTTTCTCTCTATATATGTGTGTGTGTGTGTGTGTGTGTGTGTATTCGTTTGGAGGAGTGCTTCTCGGTATATATGTGCGGAGATTTACCGTTTTATACTTGACATTTCCAAAAGTTTAAGTTTTAATTTATGACACCGCCACTTTCTATACGGGGCGACAAGCTAAATATGAGCGAGCGAGCGCAGGATGCGCATGGGGTGTGGGGCACGGGGTGTGGGGTGTGGGCAGATCCTTAAACAGGATATCTAACTATTGTCGTTAGTCTTGAGGCGCTCGTCCAGCTCATCTTTACAATACGCTCACATTCTGTTCCATTCTGTCCCTCGCTCATTATGAACGAAACAATTCTGTTGTGCTCAGGGAAAGGTGCCGAAAATGGATCTTAAACGAAAATATATGTATTTACCTCAAATTATTGATTAAATTGTTAATATATTTGTTGTTTATGGGGCTAAAAGGGTTATTTGTAAGGGAGTTTATTATAGAAGTCTTCTCTCATAATATTTGTAATAGTCGATATGTCAACGATTAATTGTCATTCACATTGATAATTGTACATATATCGATTGTTGGCCATTCTAGAGTCTATCGAATCAAATCTATAGGGCAGATGACATATTGTTTTTCAGTCTGTCAACAAAGCACAAAGATGGATGGCGAAATTGTGAAAAATTATGAAAGATCTAAACGGTCAATAAAACATTTATATAACAAATATCTACGATCTCGTGATGTTATTGTAGCTTGGAGGAGAAACCATCAACAAATGGGCTTTACAATTCAAGGTAACTGGAAAGTATTTTGCAATAATGAAAAGCTCATACTTGGCTATTCGATTTACTCCAAATAGTTCGCTATTGTCAGGAAGTCCAATCAGCCCCTACCAAGGACTGGCTCAAGTGGGACATGTTTAGACGTCGCTACTGTTTTTCGCAGAGTGATAATGAATCTGATTGGCTCGACTTCGATGGAATACAAGAACGTGAAAGGGATGCGGTCGGCCTGAATCATGAGAAAATACCTATGCCATGGATAACAAGACCTATAAGTCATGAATTCTATGATTTGTTTATGCCAAACCCAGTCTCATTTACTGCTGGGGCACCTACAAATTTAGATTTACTTAAACCGAAAAGTAACATTTCGGATGATGAAAAATTGAAAATCGAAAATCCCGAAGAATGAGAGTTGGGATGTCACTCGAGGTGAACGCATGATTTTGAAAGTCTGCCATATAAAATATGTATAGTCATGAAATGTTGACAATATGTTGGAAAAATGTTCATCCCATATAAAATATATAATCTTATCCAGAATTGTCTTATGCTGTGTGGATAATTATATTACTTAACTCGTATATGGTATTATTATTAATATTCCCAATTTGATCAGGGACAATATAACCTGAATTTAGTAAAACAGTATGGCCCAATAGGAACAATGCAAACTGATATAACAATAGTACATTTTTCTTGCAGTTAAATCTATGCCAATCTACTTATATAAAATAACGCTAACTAAATTTTCTTTGCTTCAATATTCATATCTCTCAATATTAATTGGGCAAAAGCCCATCGAAGATTTTTTTTATATTTATTTTTTTATAATAGACCTTGACAAAAGTTGTCGGAATATAAAAAAAAATTACAGAACCTAAGTAAACACAGGGAATAATTTCAATAATTTGACCAGGCAATATGTATGGATCCACCAGCTATTTGGATTTTTTAATGCAAGCTAACATAAATGATAATTGAGGAATATGAAATGACATGTTCCAGGCTGCTAATTTATGCGAGATTAGAAAGTTAGGGTACATAGAACATTTGCAAGCTTAACCCGATTCATATAGCAAAATTTATCATTATTATTAATGGAACCCGTAAAAACAAAATTTGTGCTTTGATTATTTTTTTTTATTTATTTATTAATTCAACCATTACTCAATGTATACTTCATACGATTTCTGTTTATTATCAGCTTGGAAATATTCAGAGCTATTCAAATAGTCATATACATATATTAGGGTTGTAGGTAGGTAGTATTGACTTTCAATGTGCAGTATACATATTTTATACACGCTCCAACTATAGATTCATTTGCCAAAAAAATTCAAGAGTAGAACATTTAACATCAAGATCCAACGATTTAGAAGAGCACTGGTGCGAGTCCGGGCGCATTTAGCAGTCGACTCTCCGTGAGTGATATTGACTTCCGATTTCCACAAATCAATATGTTTTTTAACTAGAACCAGCGATTTCGTGATCCCCGTCGCCACATGGAGCGCTCATAACTGCCCAAACCTGCTGGAGGTTGGAAGGTAGGAGTAGAAGGTAGGTGAGTAAAATAAAGGACTCTCGACTCACCTGGCAACGAGTTAAATGTATCTCCTCCGCCTCTGCGTAATTCCGCAGGATAACTGCAATAGATATGGGATAGAGTTAAATTAATCGTAATTCTATTGCAATAGAGCGCGCACTTACTATAGTCCATTGCGGGAACTGTATCGGCCGTTATTCACATCATCCCGTCTGGAGGAGCGGTAGCTAGCATCCCTATAGGGTGCACAATCATCCTGATAGTTCCTCGACCTGTGGGGATACCAATCGTGTAGCCTGTTGTAATGGGCAGGCTCGGGACAATCGGAGTACGCCTTCAGGTGGTCCCCGTCCTCGGGAAGTTCGCAGCGATAACCGGTCTGAGCGACATACTGATGGTAGCACTACACGCAATAGAATTTTACATATATTAGCCGAATTATATTTTTGGCAAATCGGAAATATTTCCCCGAAAAACTCACATCGATCGCAGTGTCATTTATTGGTGCTGCCATTCCGTAGGTCTCCATAATTTTGAAAATTTAAAAGAAAAAGGAATTTGAAATTTTTTAGAAAAACGTGTTAAGCCCAAACGTAAGAATAAAAGTGAGCTCCCAAGGCACTGAACAGGGCTTCCTCACATTTTTGAACACGCCTTGCTCACTAGATCAATCAAAGTGCGTTGCTTTACAAAACTGAGTGTTTGAACTTTTGCTAAGTGCTTAGCTTTACATTTATTATTGTTGTTGTTTTTCATAATATTAATAAGATTATTATTCTTGCAGGCGCAATGGGCAAAGGCAAAGACTTTTGGGAAACTCCTCTCTCCTTTCTCAGCCCTTTCCCTGGTAATTTATGTTGATGCACAGTTTTCCCATTGGCCAGTTGGCCTCCAGTGAACGGGATTGATCCACTCATCCAACATATCAATCATAGGAACAGCTTTTTTCCCTCTTGTTGTTATTATTATCATTTTTATTTTTATATTAGATAGTAATATTAATATTTATAAATTATTATAAATATTATTATTATAATTATTATTATTATTATATTATTTTTAGCATTATTATTATTATTATTATTATTATTATTATTATTATTATTATTATTATTATT